AATCACAGTTTCGTGTCCAAGCATCATGAATAACGAAAAAGCTCTTCGTTTTTCTTTTTGCAGGGCGAGAGAGGAAGAGAGACTTCGCGAATAAATCATTCACGCGAAGGGGAGTCGAGACGTTGACTTGACAAATGAATTTAAACGCGTAGATGTGCCTTCTTCTCTCGATAAAATTACCTTTCTCACGGTGTGTCGCGCCAGATGAGGACGATGCGCGGAAATGAAGGCAATACAAGTTGAGCGCCGAATTTTCACAATTTCACGGAGGGAAGGGAAGGGTGGGCGAGGGAGAGCTTCGTCTGGCTAAAAGTCACCCTTCGAGACTCGAGCTTCGTTAGATTTTTTAAAGAAAATTTAGCAAGATCGCTCCAAGCGCGAAAAAATTTAAAAAAAAATAAAAAAACATCGTATCCCGTGGTAATAATTTAAGAAATAAAAAAAGCATGGAGTATATATGGACTCATTAGCGTTTATCAAACTATGAGAATGTCTTTGTGAAAGACTTTTAACGACGGAAACGCTCGAGACAGAACAATAAGCCCAGATAGAATATCAAGGTTGCTCTTAGTATCGTTAGAAAGAGAGAGAGAGAGAAGGTGGGGGGGGGGGGAGTAGACAAATTGGCAGCGACTGACTGTGACTGCGAGCAGATAGCGTTGTCGTCGTCGTCGCAGCAGGCAAATAAGTGAGATCGACTCGAATGGAATGGACGGCGAACAAAAAGTCCGGACAAAGACGCTTCTTTTGATGAACTTGGGAGAGTAGGAGGCGCAATTAGATTGGATACGCTTTTCGCGAGTACTAGTGCCTCGCGCCACCGCTGGGAAATAATAAAGTGTTTACACGATTTGCTCGAAAAGTTTCACTTTAATTGAATTTGGTTTTTTTTCTCGATACTAGAACAAAGGCAAGACGGCGGCAACGATGAGTGAGATGTTGACTGTAAATTTAGATTAAGGCCACAGGATACAATACTTTGTACATCTTGATGACGTTTGAGGACTTATTTAGTTCTAATTAAATTAGAGCGAAGTAAATTTCATTTGTTACTGCCTGATGAATTATAACAAGTTTCATATGACATGTACCATTTATTTCGATTAAATTTTCATTTGAATTTAATTAACTAGAAAAGTCGGTTATTTGATATTCGATTTTGTACAAACAAGAAAAAGCAAAAACATTAATTTAATATTTCACACGATTAAAAATAATAATTCTTGCCGCTAATATCGTAAATTAAAAAAAAATAAATAAAAAAGACACGAAAATTAATATTGTTTATCCTCAAATATCCGATTTTAAGGGTTAATTTATAATCAATGTTATTAGAGTAAAAAACTGTTAGTGTTGATTGCGCGGGATATAACATAAAAACTCTTAATTTCTACTTATTTCTACTCATATTACTTTTTAAAATTATAGTATGTTAGCTCAAGCTATGAGAAAAAGTGTAGAAATTAATTTCAGGCTCTTTACTATCTATACGCGTCTCATGCTTGGCGCATCTATGGATTCGCGCGGCGCTCTCCGTACCTGTGTGTTTGATGTGCGCGCGCGCGTGTGTGCGTGTGTGCGAGAGTGATTGCTGTCGCTGCGAGCTACGACCGCTCCGAGATCGCTGGCGGACTTACCTGTGAGACCCCGAGCTGACTAGAGGTGTTATTTCTCTCTCGAGCGTAGTTACGATTCTTCTACTTATATTTTAGCCTAATAAATAATTGTTTTAATTAAATCGAGTTTTCATTAAAACACAACCAAATAAATTCAAAAAAAGTTTGCCTTAATTTGAGTAATGTTTCATATGTAATTATGTAAGGCATGTGAGATGGTTCAACATATTTTTCTTGCATTATGAGACTATTCCTCCAAATCTCAAAAAAATTGATTATTTATTCTTTGACGCTTTTATTGTAAATATAGATTGAACACAATATAGATACATAACCGAATAAAATTAAACATATTATTAATCATGCTGCTTCGTTTATCGTAATTATTGGTAGTACAAGATACGATACAGATAATTCGGATAAACTGTTACACAAAGTCACAAGCAATCCTGAGTTAAACGAATATTGCATTACATCCACACTATTCTCATTTATAAATTGATACTTATCGAATCCGAAACAAAATTATACAGCAACTATAGCAACATTTTTAACGGAAGCTTTGAGCATTAAATCAAGAACGAGTGTGTTTAAGGAGCAATCAAACGGCGTTTATTCGGCATAACTGGCTTTACGAGTTTAACATCTGTTGCACGATCGCACAGCTCTTTTTGTAATTCAATATATCAGGAGACAATTTATCCGAGCGTTTGACGTCCAGTCGAACCGACACACAGCCCCGGCGCGTAATAAATTTTCCGTTCGCGCCTCTCTCTTTCTCTCTCTCACTGTGCTGCTGCGCTATGTCGGACTAAACGAGCTTTTTTCTACTGACTTTTTTCTCAGCCTTCTTTATCAAATCCATTTCGACGCTTGATCTTTCTTTGTTGATCCTCTTTCAATTGAAATTTATCGTATTCTGCATTTCCATTTAATTTCGAAGATATTAAAAGTTGAAAACCAGAAAGCTTTCCATTGCACGATTGCTGCGTGTAATGCAATAACTTTACATGCTAACTTTGGAATGCCAATAGAAGGAAAATGCGTTTGAAGTGTAGAATCAAGAATGAAACAATGAATAAGAAGCTCTCCATCGTAAGCCTTTTTCTTTGCACGCTGTGTAAAGCGGAGAGCTACAGCCCCAAGCACAGCCGGCGCTTATTGAAGGGCGAACAAAGAAAACACGAAAATCTGTAGACTTTGCGCAGACTACGCGCGAAGTAAATAAATCGTCTTATTTTTCTCAGCCATAAAGGACAGCCACGGGGTGATATGAACGAAACGCGAAATAGTATCGAGCGGCAAAGAAGACTAGCTGGATTGCGCACTCGGCGGCGTAAAAAGAAGGCGAGCTGCGGAGACAAAATTAATTTTAGGCGGAATGTAGTGCCCGCGTCGAGCGATAAAACCAGATCGACAAATAAATTACGGAAAAGCACGTGTGCACACGAAGGTTAATTCAGATATACGAGGCGAGCGCGGCGGCTATCCTCGGCGAACGGATACCCCGAGATAAAGTCAGTTACAAGGGCCGGAATGCCGCCTGCGTAATTTTGTATAGGCGACTTTTGAATGAGCCGACAGAGATTACTCGAGTGGAGTTCGTTAACGAGAGCTGCGGCGCGAACAATTCGTGCGCCGCTGCGTGCAAGAAGCGCGCGTGCACGCAACAAAGGACACTTTGCTTTGTTTTGTTTGGTTTTGTTCGACCTGTGGAACTGAATACGATTAAGAAGAACATTCCTCTTGCGTAACAGCAAGTATATGAGTCGTCGTATTTGAACAACCCCAAAGATTGATTTTTTTCTAGAACGCGATATACGGATGGTAAAGTTGAATGAGGCAAAATAAACAATCCGAATTCCCTTCGAAGTGTTTAGTTTTTCCAATTTCGAAGACACGAAATATCTAATTTAGCGCGTCCTCGAAACTTAATGCTGCTCAAACAAACGGTAAAAAATATCGCCTGACCTTTGCGCCACAAATCACAGTAGGATGTCAAGAATGTTTAATCCCTGCAAAGTAAACCTAGCAATTCAAGGTAAATCCGTGAAGTGCGGAGAGCGAGGAAAAAAGTAAATCAAACACAGTGGCCCGGCCGTCGCGCAAAGAAAGCAAACAAAGACAAGCAAGCATCTCGCAGGTATTACGTCCGACAGAAGCTCGTAAGTCCTTTCGCTCCCAGCCGTAAATCCGCTGTGCCACGTGTGATACGGGCGTCGATATTCGCATGTATGGGATTTCAGACCCATAAATAGCCATCTCGTAGCTTCCTTTTTTTTGCACTTTCCGGGCAGAGCACGTTCAAGTTGTACGCGTGCGCGCATATTATTTATAGACGTTTTTATACCGCGCAAGAACGGAAAATTCACTCGGACTAATGAGCTGGCGCAGGCTGAATCAACATTTGTCTCGAGCTTATACCCGACGATTCTTAAAGTTTCATTTCATTTAGATGCGTTTTAGATTCTCAAAAGGAAATTAAAAAAGTTTATTCATACTGAAACCTTATTATTAATTTACTCTATGAATGTTTTCGGACGTACGTACTAGAGGTTTGCTGAATAGACAGTTGTTAGAAAATTCAGAGTTTACTTTCTCGACTTATTTGAGATAACTTTTGTTAAATATTAAACGCTGATTCAACTTCAATTGAAATATATGAAACTTTCTGCTAAAGGTTTAAATTGTTCAGATCCTCAAAATGTATAATATCTTGCGCAGGGATTTTGCCAAAATCTGCGCAAGATATCTACTATCTGCGCCAAGCATCCTCCTCTTCGACATATTCTGTAATGCCAAGACACAAGCGTTAACATACATTTTCTCTAGTGGATTAGCTTCATTTTACAGTAGTCTCAACAATAGTACATCAAAAGTGCCATTACGACACAAATCGGATCATTAAGCGAAATTACCAGGCTCGCGTACACAGCAGCAATATGTGCGCTGTAACAATAGTATATCGTCGATGAAGAGTAAACTCTGGAGACAATGTGAGCTGGCGAAGCAGCAGCCGCGGCAGCCTCATCATCCATATTTGCATGGTATCGCGTTTTGGCGGCCGCGATCGCACAACAAGCTTGCACCTGACTACACACACAAAAGAGCATCGGGTCGTCGCGAGATTAATGGCAATTGCACGCTCGGACGCACGGCCTTCTCCCTCCCTCCCTTTCTCTCTCTCTCTCTCTCTGTCTCACTCTCTCGTTCTCTCGTCGCGACCCTATGAGTTATCGTCGACGCGTCTCGAGCGTGACTGCACTGTGTTACACGCTCGGCAGATCGCCTAACGAGCTATACTCTTCGTTTGAGATCTTTTGCTCTCTCTTTCTTTCTCTTTCTGCGATATATAATATAGATGCTTGTCCATTTGGCACTTACCGTGTAACGCCTTCAGGTAGGCTTTTCCAGCGTTGATTAGCTGTCTGGCTCCAGGGTTGAATTTGTCCAGTATGTTCTGCAATCAGACGGAAAACGAGAGAAATATTAAGCTACATATATCGGTTAGCAGTGTCATTAATCTTGCGTGGCCTCACGGTAAACAAGCGATTTGATTTCATGAGATGTCGCTTTCACGCTCGCAAAATCTGCTTTGAATATAATTGCACACGAGCGCGTATAAAACGGATCGTTGCTCATCAAAGTTTGAGCTCGGCTCGCAACAACTGGTCATGTAAAATCGTATAGCTGGCTAAAAACAAGACCAATAGTCGGCTGCTGTAATGTCGTGAATAGCGCGATAATTAATTAGTTTAGTAGTTGTTATGGATTTCGCATCGTGCGTTGATGCTATCAAAGTACGCGCTTATGCTTCACAGAATATATATAGTCCGATGCATAGTTTCTGTACATGTTTTGCTTATAACTACTCGGAAAAGTTACAGAGCTTTGGTGGTAGTAAAAAAAGAACTTGTTGATGATACACAAGCCAGACAAGGGCTTTCGAGTGGATAATTATGCCATGGATATAATGGAAAGTTTCGAGGGTACATGGTGCTCGTTCACGCGTGATCCGTCGAGTACCTCGACTGATTATTACAAGCATCATTATCATGTCTCTCGCGCGCCATTGTTTGAAGAATAGTTTCATTACTTGACCCGATTCGTTTGGACGAGTACCGTGAAACTTAGTTGATTTTTACGAGCGAATCCAGCTCTCGGGTTTTTCTTTTCTTGTTGCAGACTACAACTAGTTCCGTCGTGCGGATCAGTCATTGATAATTTTGATATTACGACAAGCTCGACAAGGGCGCAAATTCGGAAAAAGCTGAAAACTCTCAGCGAGGAAATGGGAAACCCCCTCGAAGAGAGAAGCGACAGCTGTGGTACAAAGCGAGGGACAAGACGATAAACGGAGATTCATCCTCTAGGTTAGGTATGCGAGGCGAGTGAGCGCTAAAACTTGTCTGAGCAGCAGCTTTCGACGCATATCAGCTTTGACGCGCGGCTCCCCGCCCAGCGCTTTGACACTCTCTCTCTCTCTCTCTTCCTTGGCTGCGTTTTGCCTTTCTTTTCGCTTTGATCTGCGGAGACATTGTGCGAATCGCGGTCTTTCTCGAGTTTCACGGATTAATGTGAACGTGACGAGCAAGGTGGTTGCGCTTTGTGCTAGAGGCTGTGGTTACTCTATATGACTCTGATTATTTGCGGTGAAGATACATTACATAGTATTATAATAATCGAAAAGTACGTGTATCTGCCATTACCTGTCATATGTTTAGAGTAAATTTTGGAAATATAAACTAAACTCTTTTTAGAGATTTAAATAGACGTACGAACAAAGCGACGGTCGGATAATCGGCATTTGAAATGACACGTAAAGTCCATGAGAGCTAGATATATAATATTGAAAAAAAGATGATAAATTTTAAAGATGGATATGACAGAAGCTCTCTTTGAATCGCTGTTGGAACAAGAGAGGGAAGGAATGTTATAGCCAAGCACCGTCATTTTACTGAATGCGTCATTATACAATATTTCTTAAGTGCGCCCGTTCGCACAGTACGATGATGTAATCCACGTACGTACAGCTTGCGTATCAACGAAAGTCACGTATAATTAAAATTTTGCATACACGCAAAACTACGTACATATCTGGTCGCTATAACTTTCACACGACAAGTTATGTTATTTGTTATGAAATCCTTGTAATTACCATTTAGCCCCTTCCCCTTCTCTGTCTCTCTCAATTTCACTCGATCAAAAATAAAAGACACTTTCGTTCAAGCCTACTTGGTCGGAATGAAAAGAGCGGCACGAGCAACAAAAAATTCATTTCGTGGAAACAACATTGGACTATAAGCTGCGCGCGCGGCCATTCAATAAAGCCCCCCGAGCCCGCAATCCAATAAAAATCCCATCGTCCGGCACTTATCAAACAAACTCGTAAAAAAGCTTTCGGCCGCTCGCTAAACTCGACTTGGTAAACGAAGGATTGACCAACGCGAACAAGGCTGGATAACATTCAATCTCCCGCGAGGCGCAAGTCGCTCGGAGAGAGTGGAAGACGGCGCGGCGCGCTTGGGTGCCGTAATCAAGGAGCCGCCACTAGCTGCGGTTATCTAGGCGAGGAGTTTGCGCGCCGAGCTAAATCGCAAGATTATTTTAATTAACGTTTCGCTCGCTTTGTATCTTTATTCATTTGCGTAAAGGACGTTATCGCTTGCGAGATATACGGCGTCGGTGTAGTGCGATAAAAATCTGCAGCGCGAAAGTTGCCGCGTCGAATAACCAAACGCAGGATAATCTGTACGATTCAAGCATGAATACTGCCGTCGATTGGGCAAATAATTTAGCTATCCCGCGGCTTATCGCGGCACGGCAGCAAACGGGAACTATTTAACTCTAGTCAAAGCGCTCCGTCCGTCCGTGTTGCTCTTCCTTGGCGTCGCCGCCACCGGAGTTAGGATTCGGCCGATAGAACTTGCTCCGTTGGTCGCCGGCAATCTTAAGATTAGTCTGTCGGATTTGCCGCGCGCGCGCGCGGTGACGGCCGATGCGGACTTGTCGATGGATGATACGTCGCGCGTGCGGCTATGCGAAACCTAGCGCGGTTCGTGAGATTTCATGGCGGATATTTTCGTTTTAACGAGCACTCCATACGACAGCTAACGGCGTAACCTACTTCGTTCGATTGCCGACATATTGCCTTGATTTACGCGTATATCAAAGCAAACATATATGTACATATATATAAATATTCCGGCTGCATCACGTTCATTCCTATTAATTAACGTCTTGAGCTGTACCTCTTATTGTTTTAGCTACGCTGTTTTTCATGTCAAGTATTTAAAAAGACGTTAATCTTCGCCAGTGTTATCCGTAATTTGATATTGTTAAAGCTATTCAATTTATGAGTAACGTTCTTTCGTAAAAAGACACACATCTGCAGACAATGTTGCGGAATGCGTATAACTTATTTTCCAGAAAAGAACTCGAACCCCTCCTTAATATTTCGCTTGTCAGTTATTTTCACAGCTCGACAACCCTAAAAAGAAAACGAAGAACAGTTCCTCGGACGCGACAGCTCTTCGCGAGTCTTCACCAAGCCTGCTCATCGAAGAACACCTCAAAAATGACGTAATGAAATATACGAGGCAAGAACAAGTGAAACAGCTTTCCACGGTGAAACGACGCCATAAGTTCTCCAACTTGCGTGCGGTTTCATAACACGCGTCATTTTTACCCTCTGCGCTACTCCGCGCGCACGACTTTCTCCATACACGTGCCTACACTTCTTATCTCTCGTTTTTCATCGAGTCGAGCGCAGTTCTCCTTTATCTCTGGCAGCAGACAGAGGTACACATGAAAATGCGCGAGCGAGACTCACACACAAATCGTAATAAATTTTAATGAATAATTTATAGGGCAAAAGTGCCTTTAAGTGATTTTGTCAGTAGCCTACGCTCGATGTAGCTTCAATCGCGCAGAGCATTCTCGTTCCCTACAGATTTACGTTTATGTGCAAATGGTGGTTTCCCCCTTCGATTTATCGCTCTTGGGAAAGAGTGCGCTATCCGTATGCCATAGAAAAGTCAAATGATCGCTGTCAAGCCCAGAGTTGCCAAATTATGTCAGAGAGTAGTTGCCGGTGTATTTACATCACTTTGATTTCCGCGCCGAAAGGCGCTCTCTCCACTTCGCACGGCGCAATCGGCAAAGTACATTCGCTTTAGTGCAAACGATATTGAACGTCGATGTAATCAGAATCTCATTTCGGGCTCCTTTATCTGAAACTTGGCTCCCGTATCGATAATACCAATCATAATCATTCGGCGTTGCCGCGTGCTCCAGCTCCTCGCTTTTATCTGGCGCATCTCAATTTTTAAGCGCGTCTCCTCACCTCTCGGCATTCCCATCTACTATCTCCGCGGCTCTTATTCCATTCTTTTCTTGCTCTCTCGCTTTTTTCTTTTTTCACTCAGCCGAGCTTATCGGACCTCATAAAACGTCGACGGGAGGCACATTAACGCTAGTCGCGCGTACTCGCCAATTATCTGCGCCTGCACGCGTGAATTCTAGTCTGTGCTCAGCTTGCGCAACGATTTCTTATATATATATACATGCTTCAAGAGCGAGCGCGGTCAAGAGAGCGCATTTCTTGCGAGCAGTGATTTCATTTTAAACCGTTGTAATGCAGGGAAAACAGGTGAAATGAGAGTAAGCAGGTTGGATGTTGTGCGCGCGCGCTATTAACCGCAATTGCAAGTTTTGAAACGCGAGGGAGTGTGGGGGGTAGATTTTAGAAATTTACGAGGACAATTGTGAAATTCAAGACACAGAAAGAGAGAGAGAGAGAGAGAGAGAGAGAGAGAGAGAGAAAGAGAGAACGAATGGTCGTTTAATGATAAATGACGAAATTTCAAGCGCACGAAGAAAAAGGAGACATTTTTCGCGTACGCACAAGTGTAAATATAATCGAGGTCTTGCATGCGCTTGGCGAAACCGGTCTCCGTTTACATGCGATGCTCGTTGACCCGGCGGCATCTTTCTCCCGACCACACCTGCGTGCCTACCGTAATCGCCCGTCATTTCGTGGCTGATATACGATCCCCTTGGCATATAGCCCGAGTCGATGACTTGCCCATCTCGATACTTGGATACTTGGATACGATGTGAGCCTCAAATTGATTCTCTCGTTAGCCGCATGACCAACCAATTTGCCTCAATGCGAGAATTGTTTTCTGTGATATTCCAACAATATGACACAGCCGCGTCAAATAATACGCATCAACGTATCAATTAACTCATCCGCCGCGTACGTCGAACCATCGATCAGCGTTTAAAATTACAATACGTTAAACTTTCGAGAGTAGTCGCAGGCTCTGTCGAAGATTGATAGTCAGCTCTCGGGTGTAACTAAAGGTCCTTCAACCCGACGGCAGCCGATCGCCGTGCCACTAATCATTCATTTTCTTCGAAAAACCAGTCTCTCGTTCCTTTCGGCTTTTCTTTTGC